TTTTTTTCCTGGTATATTCAGAAATTGGTATTTGAATTGGGTGACAATGTTAAATTCCTATAGAGTTATTTGCCTTCTGAGCCGGTCGGACTCTAATCTATGTAAATAGTAAAATGAATGTCATTACTTTCATATTCTTATTAGCAAAACTCCAGATAAACTGCAGCAGATTCACTAACCTAACTTTTCTGCCTTCATATCGAACGTAATCTCTACATGGACGGATATAAATATTATGGTTCACAGTAACTTTAGCTTAATAAGCAGCATTCTCAGTACTGTTTCTGTGAATTTGTGGCTTTTAATGATGGATATGTTTGTATATTTAAAAGACCAAATGAATAAAAACTGAAATGGTACAAATATATGGATCCAGTGTTAAATGGACAGATGTATTCCTCTTTATAAACACACCTGTACGCCTTCTTTATTTCTTCCTGAGATGCTCCTTTCTCCAGGCCCAGGACTTTGTACAAGCTGACTCCTGCTGTTGACATCTTACGCTGAGGTATGTTTGGGTCCTCCATGGTTCAGGATTTGGCGGCTGTGACATTAAAACAAAAAAAACACATAACTTATAACTTCCTCACAGTAACAACAGACATAAAAAAAAAAAAAAAAAAAAAACTTTAATAGCTCATAAGTTTCAGGAGGAAGTAAATAAACCACAACAAACATGAAGTAAGCTGCAAGTAGACTTAAAGACAGAACTTATTGTTGGTTGTAAAACAAATTTTTCAGTTATTTGAGCGGAAAACAAACACAACAGGGTTTATATAAACACTGCGAAATGACATGAGGGCTGACTTTAGCCCAGGAGCCAGGGCTGTGTGAGGAGGAGGTTAGACGTTAAATCTTACGTACTGGACACGTAAATATTGTTGTTTTCGGTCGAATCATAGAGTCCGAAATGTGTCCGTTGATCGTCGCGAAGTTTGATCCATGAATTGAAGCTGGCACTCGGTTTCCGCTCTTTAAACTTTTCTCATGAACCGGAGAGAAACTTCAGAGAAGCCGCGGAGCAGGAAGTCAGGAACCGGAAGTACTCCTGCTACGTATATGGGCAGTGTGACGCGCGCTCGACTGTGACGCAAAGACGCATAATTATATATAATGCTTATAGAATAATA